CAGGGAGCTGACCCACAGGGCAGCAGGCCTCTCCTACCTCGTCCACTGTGGGTCCTCCCCGGCCAGGGAGCTGACCCACAGGGCAGCAGGCCTCTCCTACCTCGTCCACTGTGGGTCCTCCCCGGCCAGGGAGCTGACCCACATTGTCCGCTTCAGTGGATCCACCCGTTCTGCTCCCCACTCTGTCTCCAGTGAATGCTCCCACCTCTGCACCCCTAGCCTGTACCCCAGTGCTTACTACAAAAAATAAACAAATAAAAAGCAGAGGGGGGACGCTGCATGGGCCCCTTGGACTCCTGTGGGGAGGGGTGAGGCTGGAGAGGCAGGGGGAACCCTGGGGGGCCTGTTGCTGCGCTAAGAGCCAGGGAAAGATGGGGAGGTGGAGCCGCGGGTCGCTGGGTGACCACAGCCTCCCCTCAAGCCCCGCCTTGGCCGCGGGGACACAAACCTGGCTTCTTGTAGATCACGTAGAGCAGGAGGAAGAGGACCGCGCCGATGGCGATGAGCGCGGCCCACCAGGTGAGCAGGAACATGATGACCACCGAGACCACGGCGCCGAACAGCGCCGCCCACTTGCTGTAGTACCGGAAGGAGGGTCTCCAGCCTGGGCACAGCCAGCCGCCGCTCAGCGCCCGCCTCTCCGCGCCCGCCCGGCCGGGCTGGGTGGGGGCCCTCGGGCCCAGGGGGCACACTCACGCCTGCCTGCTGGGCTCGTCTGCGGGCGCAGGAGGGCCCATGCCCAACCCGCTGGCCCTCCGCCAGGGGACCAGGGACCGTCTGCGGCCACCGGGCCTGCGGTCTGTGCAAGAGGCAGCCAGCGACCAGCCCTGGGCCGGTCAGATGGGATTTCCAGAGACACTTTACTGTCTCCGCGATGCTCGAGGGCGCCCCCTAGAGGTGGGCAACACTACCTGCGACTTTGGGAAACTCCCTCTAAGGAGAAACTTTTGATTCCTGGAGTACTGGTGGAGGGGGGCGCTGGAAATATCTCCGCAGGCCCTCCCTGGTGGCGCAAGGGTTAAAGCGCAGCACTGTGAAGCTGTGGGCAGCCAGCCGCTGCAGCACGCGTTCGATCCCCGGCCGGGGAGTGACCCACAGGGCGCAGCAGAACTCTCCTGTCTCCCCGCTGCTCCCCTCAGCAGGGAACTTCATCAGTCGGTCTGTTCTGCTCCCCGCTCTGTCTCTGGCGAGTCCCCTCAGGCCCTGCATCTCTGGCCTGTACCCCAACTCTGGTGTGCATACATGGATAAACCTTTATAAAACGCCCCGCGAGCTGTAAGCCGCGTGAGGCAGGTACTAGGCATGCCAGAACTCGCTGGACGACCCCGGTAATGGTTTCTCCAGAGCCCCGACCGACCGTGGCCTTCCGCCTCCACCTGTGCCTTCCGCTCCCGCCCACGACCCAGTCCCCGGGCCTCCGCCACAGAGCGGTGAGGCTGGCTTACCGGGCGAGTTGGTGATGGAGGCGTGGAAGCAGCTGAAGTTGATGAGCGCGTAGGAGCACAGGAAGAAGTTGGAGATGATGGGGGCGATGGTGTTGAGCTCGGCTTCGGGCCCGGGAGAGAGAGCACAGCTGTCGGGGAACCCTCCCGGGTGCCTGCTGCCCGCCCTCACAGGCGGGGGCCCCGGGGGGCCACGAGGAGGCCGCCAGGCCGCCACGTGCCTCAACCTTCTCGTCTGTGAATTGGGCCCAGCATTTGGTGATGCTCAAGGCCAGTGTTTTGTGAACTGAGGCCACCAGGCCAGGGGCTGACCGAGGACAGTGGCTTAGCTGCCACTCCCTTTCGTGGGCCCCCAAATTCCAATTAGAAACATATTTTGTGGGCCTCCTTGGTGGCGCAGGGGTTAAGTCTCAGCACTATGAAGCTGTCTGCAGCCACTGCAACGTGAGTTCGATCCCCGGCCCCAGAGGTGACCCACAGGGCAGCAGACCTCTCCTGACCCGCCCGCTGCTCCCCTCAGCAGTGTGTTTCAGTTAATCTGCCTGTTCTGCTCCCCGCTCTGTCTCTGGTGAATCCTCTCACCCCCAGCATCTCTGGCCTGCACCCCAGCTCTTGCGTGCATACATTAAGCAAATTTTTTTTTTAAAAGGTGTTGGCAGCCGCTCCTCACTCTCCCTCATGGGCCCACCTGTGCCCATGCAGGTGCTTCTGCCCACCCACCCTCTCCCTCTGCAGGCAGCAGCCTCCTGCCTGCCCGTGACCTGCACCCGCCAGGACTTCTCCGCACTGGCCTCCCCCAGCGGAGGCCGCTCCCCTAGGCCGCCCGCCTGCAACCATGCAGGACACTCAGCAAGCCTGTCCTGTCCCGGGCAGCTCTTCCTGCCCGCTGGTGCTATGCAAGTGTCTTTTCCTCTCCTGCCTCTTTCTAGTAAACTTGCTCTTTAAATATAAAGACAAGAAAAGGTGTCCTGGGGACTAATTCAAACCTGGGCTGGGAGGAGTGGGGGAGGGGTGCCCGGCTGCCAGGGAGGCACGACATGCCCCCCCCTTCCACTTAGGGCCCGTGCGCCCAGCCGCCTCACCAATGATGATGAAGGCCACGGCGATGGTGTAGGCCAGCAGGTAGCCGCGCACCGGCTCCTTGTTCTTGCCGTAGCCTTTGCCGAAGAAGCCGATCAGGGGGTACAGCTGGTCCTCACACAGGCACTGTGGACACAGGGGGCGGGGGCCTGCTCTGTCCCCACCCCTGAGGCCCCCAGCCCCCCGGCCCGCTTGGCTCCTCTGCCCCCCGGCCCCCAGTATGGGGGCTGCTTCTGCCCATGACAGGGGTGGGCCAACGAGCCCCCATTTCCTGCAGACCTCCACCTCTCTGTAGCAGTCACCTCGGGACCCCGCACCTGGGCCTCCCTGGCGCCATCACCCTGGGGCCCGCCCGCAGCCTCACCTGGAAGACTTTGGCGGCAGAAACGAGGCAGGCCAGGGCCGAGGAGAGGGTGGCCCCAAAGATGCCGGCCGTAATCAGGGGCGCAAAGCCAGACACCATGCTCATGGTCTGCAGGGGTGCGAGACTCAGGCCCCCACCGTGGGGCCGTGGGGGGTGACTGGGCCCTGGGGCCGCCCCGCCCCCTGCGCCCGACTCCTTCCCCCTAGGCTGGGGTGCACCAGGTCTGCGCCGCTGTTGTGGCCCCTGCCTGGCACCCCAGCTGTCTGGCACAGCCCCCACACCTGGTAGTAGTTGATGAGACCATAGCGGCAGTTGTGCTCCTGGGAGCACTCTGTAAAATTCCAGCCGTAGGCACAGGCCAGCCCCTCGCAGGTGCCGGAGCCGGGGGTCACCGTGTCGTTCAGGACCCCGGAGGCATCTCGGACCACACAGGAGCCTGAGGAGCAAGGGGGTGTAGGAGCTCTCCCCACTTCCGCTCTGGGCCCTCCCCACCCCCCAGCACTGGCCCCTGCTGCGGGGCCGGAGCTGCTGACGGCCCAGCTCCTCCCGCAGCTGTGAGGGGGATGAAGGGGATGACGCAGGAGACTTAGGGGACCCCGGGCTCTGTGCTAAGCCCTGGGGAGCAGCTTCTGAGACTACTTCTGCCCCCCCCTCCTTCAGAGGCACACACAGGGAGTTTAAGCGACCTGTGTCACGGTGTCCCCCAAAAAGCGAAGGCCTGGGGCTGGAGCCCTGAGTGGCTGCCCCTTGGGCCACGTCCTTTGACCATCTGGCCCCGGCTCCGCCACTCAGAGGCTGTGTGGCCCTGGGCAGGTCGCCGAGCCTCTCTGAGCCCTCGTTTTCTCCTTCATGAAGTGGTGGGCAGGACAGTACCCAGATTCAGTGTGGCCAGGCCTGGAAAGGGCTGGGCACGCAGCAAGTCAGCTGCCTCACCACCACCACCAGCCTCATGGCTCCCACACTGGAGCAGTTTGCCCTGTGGGGTGTCCACCCCCCGTGATTCTGGAGCCTCGGCTTGGAAGGGCCCAGAGGCGCCTGGCCGGACTGTCCTTCTCTTCACTGCTAGCACCCTGCAGTCACCCCCAGATGGGGTGGTGCCCCGAAAGACCAGGCTTGAGGCTCCCCTTCCCCGGGGTGGCCATGCTCCCCTCACCCCGACCCCCCTGCACAGTCTGGGCTGCCCACTTACCTATGGTGGCCGAGATGGCCAGGTAGGAGACGGTGGTCCAGAAAATGGCCATGAGTGTCCCCTTGGGGATGGCCACAGCCGGGTCCTGGGTGGGGGAGCAGGTCGAAGCGGATGAGGCCATAGAGGGGGATGGGAGCCTCAGGCAGCCTTGGGCCCTTGTCTGAGTTGGAAGTAGGGTAGCAACTCTTGACCTAGCTACCACAGAGCCCCCCTCCAGTACAGAGAGGGAGGAACTCGAAAACCAAGATGAGGGGGGGACACAACCAGGCCCCGAGGCTGAGAGCACATGCAGGGGGAGACCCCAGCAGTGTCGTGTCTGTCCAGAGACGCTCAGCCAGCAGCTGTGAGGTGGTGGGGTGCGGGGTGCGCGCGTGGGGCCCCAGAGCATCACCCTGTCTGGGGTCACTTCCCACCCCTCACGGGATGCTGGTAGAAGAATGAGCTCCTCCCTGCCGCCTCCAGCCCAGCCCAGGCTCCTGGCCAGTAACAGCCATTAGTCTGGTTCCACCGGCCCCCACTCTCTCCACCCCTCGGAGAGAAAAATCTCTGCTGTGTTTTCCTAACAGAAAAAGCCAGTCTTCACACACACGTCACTGCTGGAATCTTCTCGACACTTTGATGTACAACTTCCTGAGAAGGGAGCAGGTGGCCCAGCCAGCTGGAGGGGCACTGAGGTCAGGGGCACTGAGGTCAGCGGCAGGCACTGAGGTCAG